CTGACCGATGCCCAGCCCATCCACAAGCAGCGATCAGCACCCTATGGTATGGAATATTCCTTTGACTGGTTGGGGTCAGCTCTCCTGGCCATGCTCCCTCCCATCTCCTTGTGCCTCTCCTCACTGGCAGAGCCTGGGAAACTGAAGAGCCCTTGACTTGGAGTAAGCACTACTTAGCAACAACTAAAACATCAGTGTGTTATCAATGTTATTCTTATACTAAACCCAAAACACACCACTATACCAGCTACTAAGAAGAAAATTAACTCTATCCCAGCCAGAAACAGGACAATTCCTTTAACTGCAAAATAGGTAATAGTATGTGTTATATCAGCTATAAAAGTCTCTAAGCCCTAGCTATTGTTCAGAAGACTTAGTGGTTTGGTCTGTATTAATCAGCCAGGATTTCCTGTGTGTAATTGCTCTTAACTAGCTCAAACTCAGTAATGGACTGGTAAATTGGAAATGAAGAACAAATAGCTTTAAGAAGAATCTTGGCCACTTTGTTGCCTCTCTTGCATCACAACGACAGCTATTCATAATAAAGGTAATTAAATATTCTCTACTTAACGTCTCACTATGTCACTCAAGAAAATCACTTTTCTTCTCATTTACTTTCCTCTATTTCTTTTACCACCATTACACAAACTCGACTGGTTAACTCTGACTGACAGAAAGCTACACAACCCTGTGCGGTTTGGTTACCCATCATTATTCTTATCCCACCACTCTCCCAGCTGCAGCAATGCTACTGAATTTAAGAGGCGGTTTGTCACTTGGCGATTTAGGAAATCCCTTTTGGAGACCATGGAGGCCCACAAATGTGATTCCAGCCCAAACACCATAGACACCTCTGTGTCTCCCTGCAAGGTGTGCAGGGAGCGTGGAGCTCATTCAGCAGTGCTAGTGGAGCCATGTGTTGGGCAAGAGTGACTTTGACCTGACACCACCAGAGACAGACTTGACGCTCTGCACCTTTTCTGCTGAGATGCTGTGGCTAAACCCTGATTTACCAATGTGTTTTGGGTTACTGAACTCTATAGCCAGAGCCCCACACACTTGTTTTGGTGAAGGATGATTTGAAATAAAAGTTTCTCTACGGGTGTATTTATTCCCCAATGCTTTCCCAAAACTTCACCTTGAGGTTTCAGCCTCAGCTTGGACCTTGCTCTAATGTAAAGAAACAAAAAACAAACAAACAACAGAAAAATCGCAGAAGTATTTTAAAGACAAAGAAGCCTGACGTCTTCCCTATGACCTTTCCAGAAAAAGAACAAATCTTCTGTGTTCAAGGTTAGAAAAGCTCCTTATTATCACAAGGCTTACCCAGAATATTGCTGCCTGAAAGATTAAACTTCTGTAAATGTAAGGACTGCAAAAAAGCACTTAGAATGAAACCTGAAAGCCCAGCTAGCCACAACGTACCCATGTCAGTCTCACAACTGCCTGCCAAGCTTCTCAGGAGAAATATATTTTAAGCAACATGCTTTAATTCATCATCCTCTAAGATGATAAAGTGACACAACAGGAAAATACACATTAGTCGCCTCAGTATCTTTGCAAAATAGGTGTCTGCAAGTTCAGGGCTGTGTTATTCCAATGTGGGTGTGGGTGCCATCACCCAGAGCCAACACTCAGCAGAGATACTTCTGTGCAAATAAATAGGAAAACCTTAGAAGAAAGCTATTGCTGGTAGGAAATGTGTTTGTAGCATATTTCTTAAAAATATTTCACTTCTTTGGAGTGACACATTATGTTTTTCTATTTCGATTTTTATTCCTAGCTGGTATTAAAAATAGAGGCTGAATCCGTTCATATAAATTATTATCCGTTCAGATAAATTATTAATTCATACAATGTATATTAAGATATATACATTCGTAAATGCAGTACAACTGTACAGTGTAAAAAATGACGAAAACATCTATACTCGCAAATAATTAATAGGCAGCACGTCACACTTTTAAATGGCAAAAAAATAAAGCAACACTTTCTGACACCTACAAAATAAGTACATAATAGTTTCAAGAAGTTTCTTTTTTGAAAGTATTTGCAGAATTAAACTTTAAACAAACGCCCTTTGCCCACACATTTCCTGAAATTTCCTTTTGACTTTGCAACAAGGACAACTGCCCAAGGCTTTGCTAATCAATTTCTTGTGTTGCAGAAAACAGCGTAATTTGAATTTTGTCCAAGAATAGAGTTTGAAATGCAGAAAATGTGAAAAGTTAACTAACATGCAACTATTTGTAGCCACAGCCTGCATAGTAAGTGAGAAGAAGGCTGAATAAGTAATTTAACAGTTATTGCAACTTTAATAAACAAAGAGCTGCTCATCATGGCTTAAGGATGCAATATTCAAGAGTGAATCTTACTACCCCTCTATTAGTATGCTTCTTCAAAAAAAATATCTTTGTATCCTTCATAAGCATGAATCTTAAAGGAAAAAGGAGGGGGGTTTGTTTTGTTTTGTTTCAGAAGACTATTTCAGGAACTCTTGCTATGATAAACTCATATTTGAATACTTGAACAATTTGTAATGCTCTCTTACACTGAACATATTTCACATCCTGAAATCTTCCCAAAGGTCATGTTTCCAGCTTGCCACATTGGGTTTTCCTTTCTGGAAGAAGACGCGATGTGAGGAAAGAAGTACCTGGCCGCGTGCTGCTCTCTTTTCTCCAGCCAGGCATCTTAAGCACCACAAACTCAGTGTTTTGCCTGTACCTTAAACCTACAGATCTGCAAGCACTGAAATGCAGAGAGAAGGATGCAGAGGAAACACGTCCAGGTCATCCCTTTCCATCTCCATCCTCCATTGCCTACATGAGGCATTCCTCTGCAGGCTGAAACACAAAGTCTGGTCTGCAAAAGCTCCCATAACTTTGGTTCTTGCAGATCTTCCAAGTGTGCAGTCCTTTCAGTGGATAAAGGTTGAGAATAAAAAGTGAATTTCTTACGACTGTTTTTTAGGAGTGAATTTTTTTCTCTCATAATTTTTGTCATTATAGACTTTTTTCTCTCATTCTCAGAGGAACTGAGGAAGCTCTTTCTCCTCAGGGCTCTTCCAGCTTGCACAATGCATCTGAGCAGTGTCAGCACAGGGCTTCCACAGCCAAAGGCCAATCTCCACTAAAAGAACTGGATTTTATAAAACACCTCTGGCACACAGGGTAGAGGGGCTTTTAGGCAAAGGCTTTGCTTGCTGAGTGGCCATTAGGCTATCTTCCCGATATTTAGATTTAACTTAAGACTTTCACATTCATCTCTGTCTAGAACTCTGCTAAGCTTCGGGGAAGTGAAGTTGCACCAGCAATGATTTCCCAGCAAAAAAGTCTTTAGGAATTACCCCTAAAGTTTCTGATACAGTTTTATTTGAACTTTTTCTAACAATGCACATGGTTCTCCTGACTTTTATATCACTGTGAGTCAGGAGTAACTCCAAAGATGACAGCAGAGAAATCAGATGAGCAACAGAGCCACAACCTCTACTACCTAAAGGACCAACAAATTTCCTTTGACTAGCAGCTGAAACTAGATTTATTTTATGGAAGAAGAATTACAGTTGCTGGTGAGTGAATTATTTTCATTTTGAGGAATTGGTGCAATTCTAGATTATGGAAACAAAACATATAGGGCTTATAGTTTATCCAAGCAGTGCAGCATAGCTATCATTCAAACATTTCAGGTCTTATACCAGTAGAATTTAAAAAGAAAATAAATATTATTCATGTCAAAGAACTGGTTCCCATGTGTTTGATTCTTTAGTCATCATTTAAAAATGACTCATTACACTTTTCTCTTTTGAAGTTTGGTAGAAAATTCGCCCTAATCTAAAACTTAGTAGTAACTCAATGGTGATTTCTTACGAATGATTTATAACTAACCCTCTGAAGAAAAGGATTTATAATGAAAGTGATAGCTCAACCCTAACTGCAGCACTGGGAACAGTGACACCATAATTAATGTATTATTTCAGTTGTGGGAGACACTGACAGTTGCTTTTTGTTCTGGGGAAGAAATTTATAGCGTGACTGAAAAAGGCACCATGGAAAAAAAATTCACAGAAGACGAATAGAAATCCTTGTAGCAAAGACATGTCCTTACAATCCCCCTCCCAAAGACTATAAAATCCTGGCAATGACAGTGTTTCCTCTACGGTGTAATTTATACCTTTCTCCTCTACTAGATGGCAGTATGACATGCTCTCAGAATATCTAAGTGAGGGGGTTTCTTTGTTTCATAGGAAGCAATTAATTTAAAATACCATCTTACTGGCATAGAGGTTTAAAAAAACAAACAAACTTGCCACTGGCTGTGTATTTTGAAATCAAATCTATTTACTTACTGGTTCAACATTAAAAGCAAAAAGTGCATATTCCTGGTCAGGTGATACTTCATATCGAATAGCCTTTAAGGAGACCTAGAAAATAAATCAAACATTGAAATAAATATTTTCCAGTTTTCAAGCCAATGATATCTAGAACTAATTTTTATGACCATCTTTCTAACGATGAAGAATATTGCCAGACTAAGTGTCTTGAAAAATGATACTTCACATCTCTTTTCAAAACCCAGAAATGTTACATGGGCAATTATATGCTCCCATAAGAGAAAGTATAACTGCATTGTGACTCAGGGCAGGCAACTATCTCAAAAAATCAGGATTTTCCTTACAAACTTACTGCACAGTGGCTGGAGGGGCAGCTGTGGGCAGCAGGTAGTAGAAAACTCTGATAAATGTCAATTTATTAATTCCCTCTCATTCCCTGCAGTCACTGGCCAAAGTGCAGGAGATGACAAACAGTAAATATCTGCTGGAGTGAATTAGCATAAAGAGACACCACTCTCTCTCCCAATTAAGACAACACTGAGGAAAACTATCCCGTTTTCCCCAGTTAAAAAAGTCTTTGGGATGCTGTGGTGATACAGCTTTCCAGGTGCCCCCTGACCTGCGTTCTGCAAAAAGCTGTGCTGTAAGACTTACTAACAAGAAGAGATGCCAAAATATCTCAGACTTGTCAGGAATTACCTTTTCCCTGCTCCACTTACCATTTGTGTAGTACAGACATTTCTCCTTTCCAGTGTGTTTCAATATAATACATTGCCAGCACACACAGCACCAAGGTCAAAGAGAGATGCCACTAACACGCCACTCATCCACTGCCTTTTAAATCTCAGCCTCTCACCTAACAAATTAGATGCAAGTCCTCCATTCCCTTGGAGCAAAATGTAAGGGGGAATTTGTGCTGCAGGGAAATGCACAGCATCCCACTGGGAGAGTCCTCCCCAAGGCCAGGGAGGCTGGAGGCGGTGCGTGGGGAACCCAGGGGACAGCCAAAGGCAGAGGGGACTGATCATAGAATCACAGAGTCACAGAATCACAGAATCGATTTGGTTGGAAGAGACCTCTGAGATCATTGAGCCCAACCTCTGCCCTAACACCACCATGTCAACTTGACCATGGCACTAAGTCACTAAGTGACTCCACCACCTCCCTGGGCAGCCCATTCCAATGCCTAACCACCCTTTGAGTGAAGAAATGCCTCCTCATTTCTAGCCTGAACTTCCCCTGGCGCAGTTCCCCTGGCATCACAGAATAGCTCATTTTGGAAGTGACCTTTAAAGGTCATCTAGTCCAAACCCCCTGCAATAAGCAGGGACATCTTCAACTACATCAGGTTGCTCAGAGCCCCATCCAACCTGACCTTGCATGTTTCCAGGGATGGGGCATCTGCTACATCTCTGGGTAACCTAAGGGGCTGATGGGCCAGAGTGGATCAGGATGGGGAGGTACCAGGGGAGTGTGAGAGCCAGCAATGTCAGCATGAAGACAGATCTTATTTACTGCTATATTAATAACATGGAGAAAGGAAAATATGCCAAGGTAGCAGAAGTTTTTCTGACCCAGAGTTGGGAAGGAAGAGGACAAAGACAACATGCCTGAATGAGGTGTAATGGTGGCTCCTGTACTGGGACTTTTTGGATTAATGTGGAGGTGATGTTCCGCAGATTCATTTACTGAGAGGGCAGAGGAGCAAGGGCAAAAGAGGCAGGAGGGAAGTCACGGCATGAAAAAGTAGGATTAACATGTAACACTGTGCTTTCCTCACAAATGGCAAAAATTAAAAACTGGGATGAATAAACAGAGGCCAAATGGAAGCAGTTTGACTTCAACAGACCTTGACATTAAAGGAAGCCAGCGCATTCCTTTACCCTTAGCAGAATTGTAAAGAAAGGGGTGACACTCAGGTAAAAAGACAATTGCTTATGTGACGTAGAAAAGGTTGAACATTAAATGGCAGTATGTGAAGTTTAAGGTTGGGTTCTGCAATAATAACTCAGCAATAAATTCTTTGTCTCAATAAAATAGAATTAATACTGTATTTGAGCTTTGTATGAGTCATATACTGATACTGCAAAAAAAAATCAACCTGGAATGTATTTTACAGTTTTCTGGTAGATTTACTTTTGGTTTTTGAGTTTCTAAAGCCGCTTTATTCAGATCTTGGGTCATTAAGATAAGTCTCTGTTAGCCATCCTCTGCTTTTTTAGCTTTGCAGTGGTACAGTACAAAAAAACCACTTCAATTTAATCAAAACCTTACGCAGGTACTGCATAACAGAGAATTTTACCAGGACGACGTGATTCATATCTCATTGTTGTAGCGAACATAAGTGTATCTTACTTCGGACATTAACTTCTTATAGGAAATATTGAAAACACTCTGACATTTAATGTACTAACTTCTGTCATAATGCTGGCTTCATCTACTACAAAAAACAATGTTGCAAAACACTTTCATCATCATAAATAATACTCTTTATCAACTGTGAATTTATTTTCTTTTCATTCATTTTAATAGACTAACTTCTTTTCCCAATAATTTCTTAGGGTTTCTCTCATACGCAGCTCCACTTCCATTTATCATAACTATTCATTAATAACACTGAAATTACATTTCAATCATTAGGCAAGAAAAATCAGCAAATCCACAAATTAAAAAATAAGTATTTGCATGAAGGAATGTGAAGAATGCTACCAACAGGTAGTATATTGTATCAATTGTCTCTTCTATAAAGCATGCAGGCGAGAATTATGCATCTTTCAATTATACATGATATGCAAGACTAGCTTCAAATATCTATATGATACTTTCCCATAGCATGAAAGAAACTGAGCTTGCAGAATAACAACAAAAGTTAGAGTTCAATTTCACATTATCAGTCATTGTGTAGCCCATAGTATTACCAGGGTATTGCTTCTCCTTGGCAATACACAAAGTTGAAACCCAAGTAATTTTCTGCTTTACTGATCCAACTGCAAGAGAACTGTGAAATTCTGCTACTCATTATAGAAAATACTTACAATTTTTTTGTTTTCTATTAATATTGTTGAATTGTTGGTTTCGACATTCCTCAGAATCACTGTGCCATTCTGGTTTCTATAAATGAATTCAGTATCTGCAAGGAGGAAAAGAAAAGAACATTAAAGAAATCTGAATTTTTCTGTTTGTGTAGAACCTAATTATGGACTTGAACCAAAAGTACTGCTGGGAGCTTCCCTCTAAAGAATACAGACTTTTTTTTTTAATGCAGCCATTGCTGTGATGTTAAAGTGACTTCCAGAATAGTCATTAAACAACATGGTTAGTGTTTGTCACATGTTTATTCTGCCAAACTTTCCCAGAGCTGAATGCAAGAGGGTGACCTGTTTTGAATGTACATACAGAGCTTGCTATATTGTTAGTGTAGAAAAAAACAAGTTTGAAAAACATTCCTTATGCTTAAAGGTTTCCCAGATCCTCAGTCGCTGTAGGAATTTAATAATCCAGATGCCTAGAAAGTGTTTGAAAATTAAAAGCAAATCACCCTCTAACAAAGCAGATTCTGGAACCTAATATTGTGCAGATTTTCCAACTTCACCATTTGTCCTCCAAACTTATACCAGAAGGAACTGCATGCAAAGAAATTTCCATTTTCAGATGGAACAAGACAAATCAGCTTGTCCCTATTGCACTTTGGGACTACTCCAGCACTCAGGACATCTGGAGAAGGACAACAATACCCTCTGGTTGCTGCTGCACAGGCAGGAGATAGTCTCCAGCTCTCAAAGCTCAAAATCTACTTGACAGAAAGGCTGGGTAAGACATATGAAAGAAATTCCAAATGAGGGCTGGGTAGCAGGTCAAAGGTTCAGGATGAAAAAACATCACAATCATAAAGTGCTGTCAACTTGTCAGATGTCATAAACTGAAGTTCAAGTCTGATCAGTGCTTACATGCACTGCCCCACAGATAAAACATAAAACAGAAGCCCCAAGCACACTGCTATTAAAAGATTCAGTAGCTTTTCTTGACCCAGGAGTAGGGTTACTTTTTCTTTTGCGACTTGGCTAAGTTTGAGAAATAACTAAGATTGAGAACTGATGGATCCTACCAAACTTCTATCTCCAGTTTCAGTTAGGGAAACAACTTGTCATTGCCTATACTCACTGTGGCTACCCCAGGGTGGCTACCATGGTGCATCCCGTAAGTGTTAGGGACATGTGAATGATTAAACATTATCCATGGGTTGTCCTGGCATAAGTCAAAGGTGAGTTTGAATTGTCCAAGATTTGTACAAGCACAGACTCAACTCACCGTAACCAAAAACAGGTGCACACTGCCCGGTTGAAGAAAACATTTGATCCAGAGACCCAGTTCTTTAAAACTTTGGTGTACAGACCTAGCATACTCCTTCCTTGTCCATGTTTCAGTCTTCTTTTATTTCTAAGCTTGTGATGACAATACTCATCCCAGTCATTAACTATCTTTGTAAAATGCTCTGAAATGGCAGATGAGAAGCTTCTACACTCTACTTATTACCTTCAATAAAAACAGTCATCTCCTACATATCACAGTTTCACATGAAAGTGTAGGCAGAAAAAATCTTTTCTGAAATTGGAATGAATCAGATTCTGTTAGGCCAAACTGCTGCTGCAATACAGATGATCATCTCCAAACAAGATTTTAGAGACTTAAGATTCTCAGTGTCCAAATCACAGCAGCGGCCCTTCAGACTAACAGGCAAAGTTCTCAAAGCATCTCTGTCTTCTAATTATGGAATAAATCTTATCTACACCTTTGGTCCTGAATAAAAAATGCAGGATCTGAATTAGATTAAGACTTGCATTTGAGACCAGAATAATGAAGAGACTTCCTGTTTGGATTTGACAGTATTAAAATTTCGTCATTAGTTCTGGAGTGTTGTCCAAGGGCATGGCATTTTCATAAGAATCCCTGATTATATTCAGGACTTTAAAATACTGCTTCATACAATTTATGACTGAACAAACCAAGATTCTTAAACCTGGGAAAGAACTGATTGAACAGAACTAGGACAGAAGTCAAAAAAGTCACAAGCAGCATGGAGAAGAGAAATAAATGAATGCTCGTCCCCTGCCTTTTCCAAAATAAATATTGGGAGGCACCAAATGACACCAGTCAGTGGCAGGTTCAACACAAATAAAAGGGATTATTTCTTCATGCAGAAGGTAAACAAGCTGTGAAATTCACAGTCCCAGAGTCGAGTGGGTGCCAGGACTTCATGTGGGTCCAAACAAGAATTAGAAAAATGGAAGAAAAATCTGTCAAAGACCATGGGTCTTGAGGGGAGATGCTTTTCAGAAAGGCCTTGAGCCTGTGATTGCGAGAGACTGGAAGCATATCCTGAATTCTATTCTTGAGAAATTCACCTGCTTTTTAAAATCTTCCCTAAGCATTTGCTGTTGTCCTGGGACAGATACTAGAAGAGAAGATCTCTGGGGTCTGATTCAGCACTGACTTATTTACAACTTTAACTTCCAGCTTCTGTGTCCAGATCACTAAGAAATGTCTTTATGCTGACAATTTAGGAACTGATACAATAAAAGCTATTAATGCTTCCTACACATCTTGCGTTTATATCCTTAGGCCATTAAGGCTGAAGTATTATTTGTTACATGAGGAAAGTATACAGTCAAAATTTTTATTTTGAAGTATTCCAGAAAGAACAGGAATAACTAAACTGAGAGACAGAATATTTTCTAATTATCAGACATTTTGAAAAAGATTTTTGCTTTAATAATCACCTATGTCAACAACACAGAATGTTTTCCAATTAAATACTAAGTTCTAGACTGAAAAATCACATTTTAAATATGACCAGCAAAGCATCTGGATAATTGTAAGCCTCTCAGAATATTTCCTAATTATAGAAAAAACTAGCAATGAAACTCAGCTCAAAGTTCAGTAAATAGGTAAAGTAGCTTATTAATCTAATGAGTCTGTGGGGCTGTTAATATTTGGTAGCTGTTTCTTGAGCACTGCATGAACTGATGGAAGTTACATTACTGCCCACAATGACATTGCTACTAAACTTTTATTGCTCCCTATGCTCCAAAAAACCATAACATTTTAATAAACTATGAAACTTCAAGATGATTACATAAAAGTTGCTCCGTAGTCGGAAGTAGGAGATGAAAGAATTTCCCATTATTTGTTAAAGTGTAAGAAGTTTATAATCAGGTGGTAATCTGCTGTATGTACTTCTAGTATGAATAAGGAAGAATAAACGAAGCAGTGCTGATTTGTTAGGGCTGTAAATCTTGCTATTATATTCAATGCAAGCCATCAACACAGTATCTGAATTAATGAACAGTAAATTGGTCTGCTTAAGAGAAGAACAAATTGCTCTGCATTAGATTCCAAGCAAAACGCTGTGAGGTTTAGCTGGTCTGTAAGTCGTATTATTTTAGTTCTCAAAAGAATCAATGAAGAATATTCCTGAACTTCTGATTTGAAATGTGTGATTTGTTCTAGTGCAAGAGCATTTATTTAAATAGGACATACCTCAATCAAAGACAAAAAGCAATGCAGCAACCTCTGTCTGTAATGAATTCTGTCCAGCGGGTTGATGAGAATTTGCAGTCTGATTTATAGTTGTCACCACAGCTGATAAAGGTCATCACTGCATCTCATTTTTTATACTTGCCTTTCCTTGGGGCTGGTGTTCAGTGTAAATGATGCTGAAAATTGTAACTTTCAGGCATAAAGCCATTTACGCCATTTCTTCAACAGCAGAGTTCACCTCGCCAACTCCTCCCCCTCTTTCAACTTCCAGGAAATTGTCTGGTTAGTAGAATATATTATGTGTCTGGGAGTGTAGACACAGATATGTAGACGTGCTTACAAAAGTGACTGATTACAAAAAGCAGTGATTACTAGAAGTAACAGGGCAGCCTTGGTGATGTACAGAGTCAGCGTAGAGGAATGGGGGAGCCTTGGCAGAAATTTTTAAAAACCTGCAAATCAGAACAGGTGAAATCAGAAAACTTAAGACCAATGATATATTTGCAGTGTCAGAGTTTCCCAGTTTCTTTCTACACATCTTAAATTCAGTTAGGAAATATGTACATGGTGAAAACGGATCTAGTGACAGGGAGCTCATGTCCCCTGCAGTGGCTGAGCCCTCGCCAGGAACAGCACACATGTGGGTTTGCTTACCTGGCTGCTCTGCCCACTGGCCTCTTGTTTAGGGTGAAACAAGACAAAATGATGGGATTTTTCTTAAAATAATAATGCATCACGCACTATGGCCCCAATGCAGGTTTTGCATTTTCAGGCATGCTACCTGGCCAACCCTTTCGAAGGTTTTACCATCAGAAAAGGCACGAGGTCTCTGGAGACTTGCCCACTGATGCTGCTGGGATCCTGAACTGAGAACTGTCAGTTGAAACTCAAGAGAAAGATCATGAGGCCATCACTGGTATCATGTGGGGACCCCAAGTCATCAGCTCAATATACAGAGGCAGCCTAAACAGCCAACAAAATGCTGGACTCCATCAAGAAAGTAAGACAGCATGGATCATTTGCTATGATATTAAACAAGGGAATACAAAAATTCATGGACAACTGATAAACTGACAGATATTAAAGGAAATAGGCAGGATAAACCATCCATCATCCCTAATGCAGGGCTGCCTCATTATGGACCACTAAAAGGAGCCAGGTTCAAGTCCAACATAGCATCAGCTATTGCTGTGGTTAAAGACCCAACACTGGGCTAGAGGAGCACTTGCCTGAGCCAACACCACTTCTTTTTACGTTGCAATGTGTCAGACTGGGCACCAGACTAAACAGCTCATCACAGTGGACAAGAAGGTCTGGGACAATTTCATTTCTAGAAGGAGTAAGTTTGAGTGCTTTGCTGGGTGCAAAGAAGTTGAAGGAATTACATCCAGCTGCAGGAAAATAGATTTGCATTAGCGTCACTGCTCATAAATTTATGGTTGTACAGCTTCTATGATAAGACTAAGTAAGTACACACTATCGGAGATGACAGACTGATTTATAAGATAATAGCAGGACCCGCATGCTTTTGAGAAGAATGTTCATTATTTGTCAGAGATTATGGAAAACAGAAAGCAGAACTATGTGATAAAA